GAGGGAGAGCCGCTTGCAAAGACGCCCAAGACAAAGCGGAACAGAGGAGACAGGAGAACCGTGGCCCAGAAGAGGAAATTCAGGAGCGTCCACGGCCGGCGGGCAGGTCTGAAGGGCTCCCCCGGAAACACGCCCTTCTGGTTATACGTCTCCTGCAGAGCATCCTGCCAGAGTCCACAGGGAAAGCGGTGTCATCACATGCTGTGCTCTTACCCCGAGAGAACGCGGTGACTGAAACTGGCTGTAAAGTGCCCCAGGGACTGGACAGATCGTGCGCTGTGGGCGGGAGACGAAGGGGCATGACCTTCACGCAGAACTTGGCTGCCTGCACCAAAATCTTGTAAAACACAAACCCGGAGCAGCTCAGTGGCTGAGCATCGATTTATGAAACCAGGAGGTCCCGGTTTGATTCCCGGGCAGGGCCCAGGCCCGGGTTGTGGGCTCAATCCTCGGTAGGGGGCGTGCAGGAGGCAGGCAATCCATGGTTCTCTCTCATCATTGATGTTTCTATCTCTCTCTCCCTCTCCCTTGCTCTCTGAAATCAATAAAAATATATCTTTAAAAAAAACAAATATATTTTTAAAGAAAAGAATGCAGTTGGCCTGCTCCTCTCATCCTAATGTCACCTCAGATCCCACTTTCGGGGGGCAGAACTCTCCCATCCTGTTGAGAGCCCAGATGGAGTTGCAGCCTTCCCCTGCCCCAGGCCGTGGGTCCTGCCCTGGATCCCAGGTGCCTCAAGCATCACATGTTCACCCTCTTGCCAAACGCAGAAGCTTGAAAACCTTTGTAGATTGAGTCTGTACACAGAGGTTCTTGGCATTCATAGATTTTGGAATTGACTTAAAGTGCATTGGGTCCAAATCAAATATTACACTTTAGGGGAGTGTTTTACTGTCAGAAATGGGAAATGATTTTTCTCACGGTCTCAAAAGAGAGCCATCCATGGGGCCTCAAAAACCCAGGACTCCTGAAACCCAGCAGTGTTTTCCTACATTCAGACCTCAGAAAAGGGTAGAAATGGAGCTGGAATTTATATTGACTCATGATATCATTTTGAAACCCATTGTTAACAGAAGTCCTATCAAGAAAAATGTATCATTTCTGTCCACGTTTTCAAGCTGCACGGCAGTGAGAAGTTCAGCAACACTAAGGCCATGGAAAAAGAATCTACTACAGGCCCTCGATCCTTATCCGAAACCACAAGGCCCATTGACTTCAGAATTCAGAAACGTTTGAATTTTTGAGAATAGTTGAGTGCCTGTGTGGCTATCTGATAGCTCCCAGCAGCGTCTGGGGCACCACCTATAATCAAACAAAATATCTCTGTAGTAAAAGAGTCACATTAAGCGAGAGGAAAATAAGGCCATAAAAAGCCTCCCCTCAGGTCACATTTTCTGCTGAGTGGGTGATGAAAAGCTTTCTATTTTCAGAGTTTTCTGGAGTAGAGAATTGTGGGTAAGAGATCATGGACCTGTATAGTCAAAGGAATGGGCCCGGCCGGCGTGGCTCAGTGGTTGAGCGTTGACTTATGAACCAGGAGGTCCCGG